TCTAAAGGACAAATGACCTGGATGACTGAGAACCTTCACAGACATCCTCAGTAAAAATGCTTAAACTTTATTCACCAGTTTACTAATCTCATATGTTAGCAGGAAGAATGGAACCAGACATTTGTTAAATTTAAAGGTCAAAAAAATGTGTGTTTCAGTTGTTTTAATGCAGTAAAATAAACAATCAAATGCTTAATTTCTCCTAAAGATAGGAAGTAAATGTGCACTACATTTAGACTAAGCATTGAAGTTGTACCGTGTGAGGGTCATGATTGGCACCTGAATTTGACCTGATGACTCTGATTCACGCCAACTGCTGCATGGTGATTAGTGTGTTCTGATCATCAGAAGTTCAAAAGCTGAGAGTTTGTTGAGCTGAATAATCCACTGGACTCCTGTCAGGCCCTCATCAGCCTCTCAGCTCACTGTAGCTCAGCAACCACGCTCAGCGCTCGTTACGTCTGTGTCGTTGCTCAGAGACAGTCCTGCTTTATTTGGGAATGTGGACACATGACATCAGCGCTGTGGGTTTTCTGATTTAATCACAGATTCAGCCAGAGGACACTTTATAGTTGAGAGTCCACTTGATCAGGTATCAAGTGCTTAAATGTTTGCATGGTTCAGTGTTAAGAAGGAGGAGGCACGGCCAGCTGGCAGCGTCCACACACACACGTGCTTTGGGGATATCTGTGTGATGTGCAGCTGCAGACGAGAGGGCTTTGGGACCAAGATGTAAAAAAAGAAATGAACAGATAAAGACTTGAGAAGAGAAGAGCGATGAGAAAACCGGAAAAAATGTAACAAGTGACTAAAATTAGAGACAAAGAAAATGAGTGTTAGTTGGGGCGATCGTGGCTCAATAGTTGGGAGTTCGCCTTGTAATCGGAAGGTTGCCGGTTCGAGCCCCTCGGTCGTTGTCTCCTTGGGAGAGACACTTCACCTGTTGCCTACTGGTGGTGGTCAGAGGGCCCGGTGGCGCCAGTGTCCGGCAGCCTCGCCTCTGTCAGTGCGCCCCAGGGTGGCTGTGGCTACAATGTAGCTGCCATCACCAGTGTGGGAATGGGTGGATGACTGGATGTGTAAAGCGCTTTGGGGTCCTTAGGGACTAGAAAAGCGCTATACAAATACAGGCCATTTAGTGTTAGTGTCTAACACTGGGTCGTTTTCTATTCGTGTTCTGGTTTGAGTTAAGTTTACCTTATTAATCCACGCCTTTGTTAGCACATTACTCATCTACAGAGGGTGCAAAATGCTGCAGCTCGTCTTTTAACTGGCACTGGAAAGTTTGCGCACATCTCCCCTATTTTAGCTTCACTTCACCGGCTGCCCATTTCTTTAAGGATTCATTTTAAAATTCTTTTATTTACTTTTAAAGCCCTCCATGGCCTAGCCCCATCTTATCTTTCTGAGCTGCTACAGATTTATACACCCACCCGCTCTCTCAGGTCAGCTGATCGGCTGTTCCTGAATGTACCCAGGACTGAGCGGAAACTTAGAGGTGCTTTTGCTGTAGCAGCTCCAAAACTGTGGAACGATCTGCCTTTAGAGATAAGACAGGCCTCTTCTCTGCCTGCATGATAGCAACCTTTCATGGCCATTATAAACTGACTGGCATGTTAGTCATCATCAATGTACAGGGAATGTGCCCAGAGTTGTTGTTGACATTTTTTTAGTTGCTCTAGTAATCATCACTGAGTTTAAAGCTCTTAACAGCCACCAGGTCACCGGGTGGATTTTGGATTTGGTTAATCTGCACAAATCATTACACAACTCTTTTCCTCTTTTTGAACATCCAAATGGAAAAGTTTTGAAGTTACTCGCCCAGTGAATGCAGGGACAGGCCCCACTTCCACGAGGCAAATGTTTAGTTTAGGGCACTGTACATTAGTTCACCAGCTTCCTGCATTAAAGGTTAGACTGATCATTAGTCTCTAAAAGAGAAAGAAAGTTGTTATTCATTTGAATAATACCAGCAAAAATCAAAGTGGAAACAGTCACTGACAAAAAGACGTAGCTGCTCCACTGTCCTTCCGCTCAGCTACATTTTTACATAGTGCCTAAAACATAACGCAATGTTGTTGCCTCCTCCATAATAGCACAGAGACTGTCAACGATGGGCATTTCCACACGCTAGAGCTGGTGACCTTTAATCGGATGGTGAACCTGTCAGTGGATGGAGGAGAGCCAACAACACTGGACAGTCAGGGAGGAAGTCGTCCAGCAACAGGGGAGGCCCATCTGTATGTGGGAGGTAGGACCAGGGCTTCACACCTCAGTTCAGACGTGAACCTTTGTATCCATGCTCCACAGTTTTGTGGAATATTCTGACATAACCAATTGATTTTCTGTCTGTCCAGGTATGCCTGAGGAAGTGATGCCAGCCTCTCTGGGTCTCTCCTCTCAGACCCTCAACACGTCAAGCTTCCACGGCTGCATCAGGAACCTTTATATCAACCACGAGCTGCAGGACTTCACTCGCAGCCACATGAAGCTGGGGGTGGTGCCGGGCTGCAAAGCCTGTCGCAAACTCTACTGCCTGCACGGCATCTGCCAACCCAACGGTCCACAGGTAGCAACACACTGTCAGCAGTGAAACCTCTTGCAAACATAATAATGGCATAGATGTTAAATTAAAGCATATTTTTTACATAAATTATGAGACAAACATGTAATTTACAAAGAATGTTGTCAAAGTGTCACAGTGTGATTATGATTTAATTTAGCTCCAGTCAATCACTTTTTTAAATTTCCTGTTTTCCTGAATGTGTGAATGCTAGCTCAGTGCTTCTGGGTGTATTCAAGCTATTACTGAGCTAATATAAATTAGGTTATACACACAGTTTTTTGTCTTCCTTTGCTGCAGATGGCTGCCCCTCCCTGAACTGTGAAGGGAGTTTTTCCTTCCCACGGTTGCCAAGTCCTTGTTTGTAGGAGGTTGTTTAATCATTGGAGTTTTCTCTGTGTTATTGAAGGGCACGGCTATTCAACTAAAAAGTTGGTTCGGCCAGATTTTCAAGACAAGGAATTTATCTGATATTTTTTAGCAGCCATTAAGCAGCATATCATGATCAATTTCAAACCAACAGAAACTTATTGAAAAACAAGTAATGTTTATTCATTTTGTCCCTTTTAAATCTGGTGACATCTCACAAATGCACACCAAAAACTCCAATAAAATAAAAAATAAAATAAGAAAAAAATTTTGAAAGTTCCCTTTCAATATATATGTGACCCAGACACATCTTAAAGTGCATTTAAAACAATTAAAATAGAACAGTCAATCCTATCAAAGCTATCAGTGCACAAACCCATAGCAGTAACACATAAGAATACAACATTTACTGCTGCACACTGAGGTAATACAGTTTTGTTTTATATCAACCCCTGTAATTAGGCATGGCTTTGTTAGACATCCCACATTATGTTAATATGTGGGCTATAGTTACCCTGACATTATTAATGGGAGAAGTGACATTTTCTTTTCTGAACAATTGCGGCAACTGTTGGCTCATAACATGTCGGTGCAATCCGAAGGCGACGGTGAAGCGATAGCTTGATATGTTTACAACACGGTGCATTGTGGGTGGAATATTGCTAGGCTACTAGGAGTGTTGCATTCGTAGTCCACACTATGCTGTAGGAATTTCTTTTTGTTTGTTTTTTTCGTTTTCTCTGCGTTTCTGCTAGAACCACGGGCAGAGCCACTCGGAGGTTGCTTCTGGGCCGCATGTGGCCCGCGGGCCGCCATTTGAAGAGGCTTGTTGTAGGGTCTCTACCTTACAATATAAAAGGCCTTGAGGCAACTGTGGTTCTGATGTGATTCTGTATGAATAAAATGGTATCAAACTGAACATAGTATATTAAAGAACTGGAGTTTCGTAGAAAACGAGTAAAGCACAGATGTCTTCTCTCTCACAGGGCCCTCAGTGCCACTGCCAGCAAGGTTGGACAGGACAACACTGTGACCAGCCAGTAACAGGAGGTCTTACTAGAGTGGATGTTGTCACTCTAGCAGCTGGTGCCAACCCCTGTGAAGGCAGCAAGTGAGCAGCACTTATCGTGGCTTCCAAATGTCTTCACTCATTACTCAAAATGGTTTTTGTAACATTTATAAAATCCTTTTTTAAAACTGATTCTTTTCCTCGTCTGCTTCTTTTAATTCCAGGTGTGCGAAGGGTGTGTGCGTGGTGCTGGATGCAGAAACGTACCGCTGCGACTGCGAGGAGGGATATTACGGTGCGCTGTGTAACCTCCAGAAGGAGCCCACGGGCTCATGCCGGGGTCTGAAGTGTCTGCATGGCCAGTGTGAGACGACAGAGGACGGAGAAAGGTGCATCTGTGAGCAGGGGTACACTGGAGAGAGCTGTGATATAGGTGAGTCAGGATGAGCAGAGCCTTTAGAACATGTATCATGATTTCATGGCTATTAAATTATACTCTACTTGATATTTTAAAAGTTAAGTTTTTACTTATCATTATATATATTTCATGTGACAGCCATAGTCTCAAAGTGCTTCTAAAATAAAAATAAAAAGGCCAGTATAGCTCACCGGGCTGAGCATGCAACCACATGCTGAAGTATCCCAGGTCTTTGCTGCATGTTGTTTCCCCGGCTCTCTCGCTTTGCTCGCCTGTCTGCTCAGCTGCTCTGTTACAAATAAATAGTTAAAAAGATTTCAGATGTCACAACACAAATTAGAAAGTCTCACCGTAATAAAGGATTCAAATGAGAATTAAAGACAATTATACTGATTCACAAATAAAATTTCACAGCTTCAAAATTAAACGTCTCAAAAATCTGCAAGATATTTATAGAACACGTTTGTTATAGAGCTTATTTTAAGAAAGAACCACAGAGACCGTGGTCATTAGAAACTGGACCTGACAAGTGAGGGATGCTGCACGCTCACAGGTAGCAACTTGTCCTTTACAGGGTGGACCCAGTTCAAAGCATAACCTATTTCTCTACCACTGTTTCTCTCGACTCATTCTGCGAATCATAATTTACTAAATGAATAACATCATGTAATCGCTCACACGTCAAACTGTGTTTATGGTCTCAGATGGTAGTTTCTGTGCAGTCAGACTTTTTTTTAATCAAAGACAGATGAGTCAAACACTATGAAACACTAAAAACATCATTTTTATTTAGCAGCGCTTGGCTTCACCAAAGATTTCCTCTAAGTCTGTCGAAGCTATTTGAATTTGTCTAATTAGCTTTATGTGCATTTTTGAAATTCAGTCTATTATTCCGCAAAAATTCTGAATGCAAAATGCATCTTATTATCAATAATTCAGGGTATCAAAAAGCTGAATCATTTTTATATGGCAGAGAATATTATACTATAAGCAAAGCTGATTTTTTAATGATTTTAATGATTTCTGTTAATAGTTAGTTTGGCCACTCTTCAGTTTTTTGCATTTTACATTTTTTTATTTGTGTCTCACACTTTAAGAAAAAGTTAAAATTTAAAAGTTTGATCAGGCAAAAGGTCAAATATTTTTCATCTTTGCCTTATGGAAACACAGTTGGACCCTCTTTTATCCATCTGCCTGTGCTACCTCCCACAGAGTCCCCATGTCGAGGCGAGCCAGTCAGGGATTACCACCGGCTGCAGCGTGGCACCATCCTCTGCCAGACGTCAAAACCTTTTTCCTGGGTTGAATGTCAAGGTCGCTGCCAAACGACAGCGAAGCCGGACATCAGCGTCGCCTCCTGCTGCGCTCCTCTGAGGGTGCGACGCCGGCGGCTCACCTTCGAATGCGACGACGGCACCTCGTTTACGCAGGACGTGGAGAAGCCCGTGGAATGTGGCTGCAAGGAGTGTGTGTAGTACCAGTGGTGCACACACGCACACATCCAGACACATAGTTTCAATCACAGCAGACACACACCAAGCTAAACAGGTACACACACTGTAGGATTTGTCTCACTGAAAAACAGACATTTTTTTGGTGTTTTGTGCTCAGACGCAGTTTTGTAACATAAGACACTTCTTCCCTTTCGAGACATGAAATCAACGAGTCGACCTCATCATCATCAACTTCCTTTTCTTCACCTGCTGTAGGAGAACCTTCTCTAACTACCAAACTCCAGCTCATTAGTCATACTTGTGTGGTGAGAAGCCTCTGTATGCCTTCTCTTTGTTCCCCCAAAAATCGCAACAGCAAACAGTGACTTGTTGGAGGAGGTAAAGGCGCTAATTCTTTCAGGACTCATTTACAATAAAGAAGCTTTGACGTTCAAAATTGATGCGAGAATTACTCCATTTTTTCAGCAATGCAAAACATCTACCAAACCAGATTTAATTATCTTACAATATCACGTTCAACAGTGTTGTTACAGAACTTTATACGATGATCTGCTACTGAAATTCTCAACCTGCCATCAAGCATCAGAAAAATGCTCAGTGACTTCTTCACTAAAGCTCAGACTTCTGTCATATCAATCTGGTTCCTTTCAAAGTAGTCTCAATTTAGGACAATAAGCACAAATTTGACCTTTTTATGGTCAAGTGCAGTTATTTAATTTATATGTAAGAGCTGTGCAAATTTCCACTTCAGTCTGGCATCTAAATTTATAAAACTATCAAACTTCAATGATCTGAATAATATCACCTATAACAATTGATTGACAGGATCACTAGACACTTTATAGCAAATGCTTCTTAAAAAATACTAAATAACACGAATGCTAATAAAACAGGCTTTTATTTGTGCTTTGGATATATAACTCTATAGTGCTTCTCTTTCTGTTATAATAAACCTGTTGGTATTGGTCTTCAGATCTATCTTGTCAAGGAAATCTTTTGAAATACTGCACAATACTAACATTCTCATTTCACAACATTATATTTCACAAAAAATTAAGATTAATCACAACACGTTTCTATATATATATATATAGAAACGTGTGTGTTCACACTCGCAAACACACCAAAAAGTAACAAACATTTGTGTTGATACACGTGTCCCATTGGTAATGCAGATGGCAAAGATGGCAGCAAACTCATTGTTGTTTGAAGTGGTAAATAAAATAATCCGAAGTTCCCACCTACTGTTTGAAAGCAGTCCTGTAAGAAACTGTCGTCTTCAAGCTTAAATCCACAATGATGTCGAAGGTCATCTTGTTCCATTTCTTGACCTGAACACAGACTAGAGGTTAAAGGTGACAGAGGCATTAGTTAGTGTGTGATGTATTCACTTTGCTGCTTGCCAGACTCACATTTTCACAGCTTAGACCAGCAGTATGCGTGTGTGTGTGTGTTCTTGTTCTTCTCATTTGTGAGGACCTCTTAAAATCTCTTTAAAGCGAGGACATTGCTAATTTAAAGGGCTGATTGAAGGTTAAGACGTTATTTGGGGTTAGGCAGGGTTGAGGTTAGAGCTGGGGATTAAGTCTCAGAGTTGTGAAACTCTGCATTAAAGAATACTTTGCTCTTAAATTTATGCTTAATTTGAGCAAACTTCCTATTCCTAGGCTATTAATTTACAAAATACATGAAAATTCTTTGAAATTTTTGATAATTTGTTTCCATCACATAATCCATGACAGTGAAACTTGAAAGTAATTGTTGATTATTTTTCTGCTAAAGCAGTTAGACCAGTCTAAGTCTAAGATGCATTGCACCTACTACTATAATAATTATTTTTAATAATAATAATAATGATGAATTATCATTTGCCTAAATTGCTCAGCTTAGTAAGGCTTTCAGAATTCACCACAGCCCAAAGTGTTGCTTTCTAATGTCATAATAGCCCGACAAAGAAACACATCAATTCCTCAATGAAATATTTCCAAATTTTTGCTGAAATTTCCTCGACTTTTCCTTACAGCAATAACGTAATTTTTAGATTTGATCTTCACTGTAACAAATTGGACAATTAAAACCAAATTCTTTAGCAACATGTTGTACTGAACAAAAAGGAAATGAATACTTGGTTGGTTGTGTATAATTTTTAATACATGGACTGAAACATTAGCAATTACATTTGTTTTCAGAAATTGTCTTTGTTTAGCTGGAATACTCCTATACTGGCAAAAGTATTTAAAAATTTAAAATGATACCCAGCCAGCTGGAACAGCCTGGTGTCATGGAATACCATGATAATTTAATGTGTTATCACTATGCATGTTTTGCTTTTCGCGCATCAGTTCACACCATGATTGACAACCACACCCTGACCTTAACCCTGGCGCTTCCTCGTGTCATTTAGTGAAGCAAAATGACACCCGAAAAGTTAAATACGTGACATGTGGAATCTGTCCTGATATCATGTTGACTGGAAACGTTTGGCGTGTGGAGAGTTAAGGTTAAGGGCTTACAGAAGGTGTTATTCTGTGAAGGAGGATCCTTACATGTGTAGAAGTACAAAAACCTGTGTGTGTGTGTGTGTGTTTGTCATTGGAAGATGCTTCTAACAAGAAGAAGTCGTCCTGTTGTAATGAACGTCATTATCCAGCGATGCAGCCTGCTTTTCGGAATCAAACACTCCCTCTCCAATTTGTCCCGAACCAGTGAACGCACCATAGGAATGCCACACAGACAATGTAGCTTTTATATATGATGTCATGTTATTTATATGGATGTGAAACTAAAACTTCTATTAGTTTTAACATGGTTTGAATTTTAGCCTTTGATTCAAAATGTTCATAAAGGTCCAGAATTGAACTAATGTAGCTTTTATTGTTCTCATTATTGTTATAACTGTAGCACATCTACATACAGTAACAACCTAACAGATTGTAATATATATTATAATAATCTTATAATGCATTCGTTTTTGTCATAGTATTTTTATATGTTGGAGAGGATGTCGTGTCTGTATCATTTGTAGCCTGTAGAAAAATGTTTGCATTTAAGAAAACCAACCTCACGTGATTCATGGGAATTTTGATGTTATGGTTTCTGTTGTCTCGCCTAAACAGAGACAACGAGTAATGCGTCTCTTTCCTATTTATTTAAATAAAGAGTTGTTTCTCCTTCCTTCTTTTCCATTCTCGTTAAACTTGACACCGGCTATCGCATTTCTTTTTCTTCTTGTTGTTTTGACCTTTGACCTCACTGTGCCATGGCTATCCTCCATTCAGACTGAGTGGATGGTTGATGGCTGCTCGTGGAGACAGGGGAAGAGAGGATGAGAGAGCGGTGGAAAGACTGAGAGCAAAAGGGGTTGGAAAAGAAGAAGAAAGGTAGATGGAACGACGAGGGAGGATGGGTGGCTGCTTTTGAGGAATGACAGATAGACGCAGAAGAGGGATATCCCTTTGGGTGGGAGTTGGGGGAGGAGTTAGCATTCGGAGACCAAAGCCGTTTAATGAAACTGTGATTTATGCATCCCTTCGTAGCCATAAAACATAATATATACCCCCATCGGCTTTGACAGAGCCTCTCCTCCCCCAGCGCGCACACACGCAGAAATACACACACTCTGAAACCTGCTGCATATCTCCGTTGCCCCTACCTCCACCTCTGCAAACCATCCAGCTGCCCCCCTCTTCTCAACCTTTCGTCACTGCCATTTTTAACCCTTCCCCCTCTC